GGTGGGTCAAACCTTGATCCTACAGCAATTAATAAATTTCTAACTATGGTTGGACTCACAGAATCTTAGAATGCCAAGTCAGAAGGGACCTCAGGATCAGCTGGTCCAACCTTTCTAAGCATGCTATAGTTTATATGAGATGGCTCAGCACCCTGTCAGTGATCTCAAGGGTCTTTTCCGACCCAAAATATTCTTAGACTCTCTGAAGTTTTCTTAGAGGATGATTGGTAGTAAAGCTACAGCTAATTACTGGTTTTTATTCTGGTATAAAATCCCTATTATTTTAATCTGTGCAAAACACTTGGCCAAGCCAGGAGACTTTGCTGCCCTGTACCTGCCCAAGAGTGAACTCTTCCATGCCCCTTTACCAAAGGGATTTGGTCAGTGGGAGTAGGGGTGCATTGCTCAGTTGCCACACAGCACTGTTCCAAGTTCTTGCCATCATTAGCAAGTTATTAATAAATTAAGTCTGAGTGATTCTCAGCAAGACTTGACAGGAGGAGCAAGTATCAGAAGTATTGTTTCATTTGTTTGTGTTGGCTTTGTACAGAGGAACCACTGAGTGCTTTGTGCTTAAGCAGGCAGCTATGCTTTGTGGAAATTCCTGAGCTCTGATCACCTTAATGGGAGACATCTTTAGCTTTTTAAATTAAAGGAAGTCTGTTGGTCTACTCAGGAACCCTGTCACTGATGGTTAATATACTACAGGGATTTTGAAGAATGTAGTCTGAAGTACACCTAAAATTCCCACTGGTGTGATGTGTGCACTTAAAGCTAGTGAAAGCCATTGATTAACTATTTGATTGATTGACATTACAGCCAAGGGCTAGGAAAAATCTCCTCTACATATATAGGTTATTACAGTTGTTTCTGTGATGTGGAAGAAAACAGGCAGCTTCACTGGAACTGCTTTTCCCCTACTTGAAGACATGAACTGGATGTGTGCACTGGAATTAGGAGTCAGGTGTTGAGATTAGAAGGTATGAGAAAGCCTTTCCTCTGCTTGAGATAACGTTGCTCTCCAGGATACTCCAAAGAGCGAGGGATGAGTGCTGAGTGATAATCAGCATGGCTCCATCCAAAACTTTTCCAGCCCAGCTCAGCCTTGTTGAGCCTAAGATGGGTTACATATGGGTGCAGTCAAACTGGTTTCTTTATACTGCTTTTCTCGGTGCTTCAGCTCAAGAGCAGCAGTTCAGTGCCAGCGTGGCAAGAATGGATGGAGCTGGAACTTCTGTCCTGTGAGACCTGTAGAACAGGAGCAGCTGACAGTTGGCTCTCTGTGTGGAGCCAGCCATAGAGATTAGTGGAGATGCTGCTGAGCTGGCACTGGAGGCTGTTCTAGCATGAAACCAGACCAACTTGGATATCCTTGAGCTGTAGTTCCTTGTAGCCAAATTTTTTCTGTTACTAGGTTGTGATAAATTTAGCTGCTTTTGCTATCTTGTCTTAAATAATTGTCAAAGTTCTTCAACTCGTACTGCCATTACTTCTTGCTGCCAATACCAGAACACCCCAAAAACCCGTGTTCTACTCAGTTTAGTGATGTTACAGCAAAACTTGGGTTGAGATTCCTGGACATAGATGGTGGGAGATCCAGAGGATTCAGTTTTAAGTGATTCTATTTTTCTTGCATGCCCCATTCAGACACATTTCTTAGGCAGCGTAGCCAAACCAATAAATTGTTGTCTTGCACTTTGTGTCTCATGACTGTGAAAGAATTACAAGAACTATTCTTCACCCCAAAGGCAAGAGGGGGCTGAGGACCAAAATTAGATCGTAATTAAGGCAAAGCTTTTATTCATGGTTTCCAATTCAGAGTGGTGGAATTCTGTTTTAGGGTCTGTTTTGCAGCTGCCACTGACTTGAAGCCCAGACACCTGACAGCAGATGAGTTCCCTCAGAGTCACTTGTTGCCCGTGTGTAGCAGGAGTTGACTCTACGTGAAAATGTGATCTAGTGGGTAACTCTGCTTGGAATACTCCTGGAAGGATATACTAATTTTTGTGAGCCAGAATGACTGTGTGGTGTGTCAGCAATTAAACGGATCAGATTATAATTTGCCTTTGCAGTCATGCTGTGCACAAATAGGTGGTTGTGTTTATCTCACTGTTACAGTCACTGTAAGAGTGGGCAAAGGAAGAAAGATATCCCTCCCCACTCCCTAGAAAAAGGAAAAGAGAAAAAATCAAGAGATTAGCTTCATAACTGCAGCTGAAGTCTGTTGCCCTGGACCAGAGAGAATACACTTCTCAGCAAGATTAAAATTCTCAGAGAATAGTTACACTGCTGTGTTAAGTAGAAATCTGCAACTGTTTGTCTTCCCTGGGCAGCACAGCCTATGAAAAAAATAATTAAAAATATGGAATAGCAAAATAAGACAGTCTATTTAAATGCAGAATACTGAAATGTTGGGTAAAGTATGTTCTTGTGAAGTAAATACGAGTTTTGCTGCTGAAAGTCCTGGGTCAGTTAGGCACTGTGTATTTCAAACAGTGGAGTCAGTATTAGAGTCTAGTACAGATAATATTTGGTCATTGAACGTGAGGATGTGAATCTTGGGATTTTGCTGGTCCCTCTTCCGGGAGTGTGGGGGGTGGGTAGGAGATGGGTGTGAGAGGAGAGGTTTTGATCCATCCTATTGCCATGGCAGGGTTGAGGGAGAACAGCCGTGGGGTCTGATGCCTGGGGAGGAAGAGAAACATGCAAATTATGGCAGACAGGAAGGACTTGTTTTGAAAATAACATATTCAAAGATAAGCATTATGAAAATAACTCATTTACTGATAACTTTATCTACTTAGAAGATGAAAAATTAAGTGAAAAATAGACTTACCTGGACAGTGTAAACCTTGCCAGGAACATTGATAACGCAGTTTGGGATTGGGAAAGCAAGTGCTGTGCTTATCACAGCAGAGTTCTGTATTATGTTGCCCTGTGATTTAGTGCAATAGTTCAGATTAAGCTTTCCAGAAATGCTGTCTCATGTGTGCTTCTCTGCATAGCAGAAACCTTGGAACATAATGCAAGCTGAGCAGCTTTTGATGCCTGTGCTTGAGGACAAGCTTTTGTCATCAAGTTGAATAGAAAGAGCAAGTAAGTTCTGGAAGGTGTAGGAACTATGTGCAAGTGCATTTGGGACATGCTTTAGCCCATTGTCAGCCATTCTTGCACTGGAAAGCCTCTTCCATTTGTAGGCTGGGGCAGAGTTAATGGGCTCTGAAGCACAAGGGAGGCTGAGGACATAGTAGAACTTTTTCAAATCCTCCATGTTCAGCTGCCAGTCCTGGGTGGGTTGGTGTCTGCATGGGCAGGGTGATGGAAGGTGAAGACAGGACTGTGTAGCCACATGGGTTTATCCAGTGCACCCCACTACCAGGGCATGTGCGCCAGGCTCCTGGGAGTTTGTTCACTTATTTCTTAGTCTGTACTTAAAAAATTTTAACCTTACTGCTTAAAGAAAAATACCATTGTCTGTTAGTACGACTGGAACGAAAGATGAATAGCGAATTAGCCTTGAGCGAACTGTCAATCTGACTTTGATAGCTCATCACTTAAAAAGGTCCTTTTATGTTGATGAAAAAGGATGACGTCAAAGCCAGGGAAGAAAAAATAAAACCAATATTTAGGGCTAAACTTGCATAGCTCCCAAGAAGAGCCCTTGTGTGAACTGTTTGTTTCTCTACATGCGTGGCTAATAGCCGTAGGTTACTATAAGTCTGAGCAGTAGCATTCAAGTTCCTTCTGTTTTGGGGCAGCTTGTTTATGGTGCTTCCATATGTGAATCCCTCAAACTGGAGCAGCATAGAGCAAAGGACTTTGCAGTCACATCTCTCCCAACCTATAAGTACTATGCTGGAAATGCTTGAATATAATCATTACCAGGTGAGTTTTTATTGCAGATTTATTTTAAAACCGGGTGCTAAGAAGGCTTACAGTATTCAGGAAATCTTTTTCCTCTAGTATCTAATATGCTTTATATAATTTCTTCCACAAAATAACGGGGGAATGCATACATGGTCACTTGTAACTGCAAAAGGCACTTTAATGAATCTGTTTTAAAACAAAAAACTTCTCAGAGCATTGTATTTTGGTTTGCTTTCTACCTTCTGATAAAACATTAGTGGTCAATAAAAGGTGACGAAGAATTTCCAGGATATGGTGAAAATTTTGCATGGAAAAAGTTGCTTTTCTTCTCTTGCTCATTGAGGGTGCAGGAGAATAGTTCAGGATGAGGTTTTTCATATTTTGTATGTAAAAATTTCCAAGTACTGAGAAGCTTATCTTAAATACAAAAATAGCTGTTGCTGAGGACAGTGATTGATCCGAACCAAAACACTTCATTTTTTGCATCTTATTTGCATAATGTGTTTATAAGCAGGTTGTCTTATTTGTATATGATTTAGGCCTTATATCTGAGATAGAAATAATTTTTAGGCAGAAAAAGAACGTATATATTTTTTAAGCAATCTGTTGTTTTAAAATAAACCAACAAAACCTAAAAAAAATATAACAAACCTTTTGCTCTCTCTGTTACCTGCCATTGATTAAAGGTCAGCCATCCATACTAGTTGCTTTTCATCAGTAGCTACTAGCAAGTAAAAATATTCCTTCAGTGCAGCTTGTTTCTCTGTGTTTTAGTGAGAACTAAATGTCATGTAGCTGAAGGTCTGAACGGAGAACAGTCTGTTCTGGAGTATCTGTATCAACTGGAAAACATGAGCGTTGGTCTCAAGTGAGAAATCTCATGTTGTAGAAAAACAAATGGGACTTCTTGGTTTACTGTTGAAGTGTCAGTTATTGAAACACTGAAACATTTGCTCAGGGACTAATTTCTTGCCACTGACGGGGATATTGGTGAAGTGCTGTTGAGTTCCTTGGAGCTGCACAGGTTTGTACTTTGTGCTGAGCTGGTACAGATGTCACAAAAGTGTCACTGAAGTCGGTAGCGCCTCTAATGATGATGTAAAACAAAGCACTTTTCAAATTGTGTCGTGCAGGTGCAGACTCACCTTGAGAATCCAACCAAGTACCATATCCAGCAAGCCCAGCGGCAGCAGGTAAAGCAGTACCTCTCTACCACTCTAGCAAACAAACATGCCAACCAAGCCCTGAGCTTGCCATGTCCAAACCAGCCCGGTGACCATGTCATGCCGCCCGGAACTGGAAGCAGCGCTCCCAACAGCCCGATGGCCATGCTTACCCTTAACTCCAACTGTGAGAAAGAGGTAATACACTCTCCCTGGGCATATTCTTCAGGAACATGGAATTGCAGTCTACTTGCTTTCTGTGTTTGCTCCTTGTTAAGATGTTCATTTCTCTTCTTCTCAGAACTCTTCACTTCGAAAATGCAACTATGACCTCTTTGTCTGCCTAGTTTTGTGTATATTTGCATAGAACATTTTGGCCAAAAAAAAAGTGTCCCTCTAATTTCCTCTTTTTTGAACTATTTTAGCTAGTTTATGCTTATTAAAACTTCCCCCCCCCCAACCCTCCCCCCCTTTGGTTGATGCATGCTGTGAATAGTTGACCTTTGCTGAATACAAAGCAGTTCTGTAAGCTGTAACTTTCTGGAATAATGTTATTTATGGCTCATTTGTGTGAAAAGAGCAAAGAGCATAGCAAGAATAACTGCAAAACAAAGGTTTTTGAGACATTTTAGGTATTTTTACAGTAAAATTTGAACAAGGCTTTTGCTTAGCTGGAGGGCCAGGTTGTCCCAGTTAGTTTACCCTAAAATGTAACTGGTTGCTGTTTCATTATGACCTCAGTGCTGCAAATATAAGACTTCACCAGCCTGTGCCTAGAAGTCCTTCTCAACCTTGTCTTAATTGTTGCTGGCCAGAACTTGGTTGATGTTACATGTGTGCTCAAGTGCTGAAGGAAGATGTTTTGAAAGATGTTAACATCTGTAAGAATAATGTCAACACTTTGGTAACATAACAACTGGTGTAGAATTGCAGAGCTCCTCATGTCGCCTCATCCTGCCCCTGAGGCCTTTGGGCCAGATTTTTAATACAGTTGCACTCTGTGGGGAAAATGTTATACAACTTTGAGAAACACTTATTACAAAACGTATTTTGCCCATGCAAAACAAATTACTTGTGCTCCATAGCTTCAAACGAAGTAAATATCAAATAATTTCATCCTAAGGTCCCAGTTGTACCCAAATTTTTTTTTTTTTTCCTGAAGATACTTACAGCTTCACTTTGCTGTGTCGTCAGGCACATGTGTGCATGACACTGTTTCAATAGTGCTCTTTTTGGGACTGAGACTGTGCCATGAACTCAGATCCATGCTTTGCTTTTTCTTTTTTTTTTTTTTCTTTTTTTTTTTTCCGTTTTATTTCTGCAGGGATTTTATAAATTTGAAGAGCAAAACAGGGCTGAGAGTGAGTGCCCGGCTCTGAATACACACTCACGAGCATCATGCATGCAGGTACTGGATGACACAGGAGCTGGAGCACAGGTCCCCTTTCTGATGAGCATGTTTCTTTGAAGTTACATGGAAGAGTCAACTTGCCCTCCAATGTCTTTAAGGAATTAAGCATAGGATGTGTTTAAGGAACAAAACAATGTTAATTTACATCCATGTCAAAAGTGCATTAAGACATCCAAGGAGGGATGTGCTTTTCTAGCACTGTAACAGTGTAGCAGAAGAACTATCAACCAGGAAAAGGTCTCAAGAAACTTGCCTAATGCAGTGTGTGTTCTTGTCCTGATAGTTTCTAATGTCACATTTATGCAGATCACACTTGCATTTAAAAAGAATGCTATGAGGAGGCTTTAATCCATCCATGGTCGTTTGTCCTCAGTAGGCATCCATTGCTGGTTTGGTTTTGTTTAGGTTTTATTTTATTTTTTAAATAAAGGGGTTTGTATTTCTAGATATAGGATAAAGGCTGTTCCTTTCTTGCTCTCACTTCCAGTCAGTGTAATTAATCTGATCCTCTGATCACACTTTCTGGAGGTGATATAAAACCCCTATATACTATTATTTCTACCATCAAAGTTATGCATTGATTTTGTAAGTTACTGTCATTCAAGCTTCCTTTTTATAATGAGCAAAAAGGAAACAGTCAATGCTGCAGGACAGTTTGGGGAACCCGTGTGGTGCTTTGGAGGGCTCTGCTTGTCCTGACTATGCAAGAGCTTACAGAGACACCTTCCAGCCCAGCCCCAGCAAGAAGGTGGCTTGCACCACCTAAAACCATCTCTGAGCTGCTCTTGGATGGTGATTCTTGGCAGAGTTTCTGAGGGATGTGAATCTTATGGATTCTGTTGTGAAGGGCATTAGCGTAGCTTGTTCTACAAGGAGCTTTCTCCTCTGTTCCTGAGAGGAACAGCATGTCCGTGGCAGAGAGAGCAGGGTAACTGCTGGTGGGAGGAGTGGGTTGGACCTTGAAGTCTCAGCTTTGTCATGACCTGACTGTCCTGGCTGAATAGTGGGAGTCATGGCTGAGGGATGTGGAGCATGACAAAACTGCCCAGGCACCTTGTCCTGGGAGAGAGCTGCTGTCTGGCTGAAGGGCTTTGTTGGCCTCTTTGTATCCCAGTGGCTTTGATAACTGTTTTGTTTTCTTTTGTCCACCTTTTTCTGTTGCAGATGGATGATGTGATTGATGACATAATTAGCCTCGAGTCAAGTTATAATGAAGAAATCCTTGGCTTGATGGATCCAGCCCTGCAAATGGCAAATACGGTACAATGGTCCTTACCTTCTGGTTTCCCAGTGAAGTCCAACTGTCCTTCCTTGAGAGAGCTCAAAGCTGTAGCATGACCTTTTTTGTTTGTTTGTTTCCAGGCAATCATGGAGTTACTGTATTGTCCCGTGAAGTGTAATTAGTTAGCTCTAACTAACTGTTAGCTCTAATATCACAGCTTTGGCTTAACCTGATCTCAGATGGAGAGAATTCCCCAGCTGGGCAACAGCAAAGATATTAGAAAATTCACTGGGAGAAAAAAACAATCTTCAAATTAAACAAAAGTGGAAGGAATAAAGAAACTTAAAAACTAAATGGGGAAAGGGGACACTGGGAGACTGAGACAAAAGGCAAGAACACTGAGGTGGGAAAGTGAGTGAGGGAAGGCACAGGTTTCCTCCAAGTTGCTGTTTCTGTTTGCAGCCTCACATTGCTGCTAGCATTAATGTAATCGTACTTCTGGCATAATCTTATTTTGATCTTCTGTGGAGGGCAGCTCCAGTGAATTTTTTGCCTTAGGCTTAAGTGCTGTTAGATCTGGCTGAGTAGATGTCTGCCAGGGCTGGCTTCTGTTTCTTTTTTATCTGGTGCCAAAATTTACAGCTTAGCACATAGCATCAATCTTGTAGCACAGTTGTGCATTTGCTGACAGTACACTAACCTAGTCCTACGCTCCCACAGATTCCCACAACCCTCTCAGGGATGTGGTGCATGCTGCAGGAAGTGGCCCACCAGCATCCCTTGCTAATAGTGCCCTTTGAGTAGACAGAAATAACTGCTGAGTCCTGCTAGAAAGAAAGAAGGGATTTTCCTTTTACCTACGTTTGCTTGAAAAGTGCATCAGCTCTGGAGTTGGAGAGGAAAACTTAAACCCATGAAAATACAGTTTTCAAGATAGTTACTCTTTTATTAGGGGTTCAGGTTCTTTTGGAGACCTTCCTCTGAAGTTCCATTGGATTGGGACCCAGGGAATTAGAGGGGTTTTTGATTTCTTTATGCTTTTCTTCCTGTCTCATTTCACAGGGACCCCAGCAGTGGCTCTTTGCTTCCAGAAAAGGCCATGATGGTACTCAAGAGTGCTTTTGGTGCAGGAGGGTCCATAAGTCAATACTTAGGGTAGTCTGCATCCCTCCTGCTTGCTGCCTGACAACAAGCCTTGTAAAGAATGCCTGACCCACATTTGCTGTGAAATTTCAGGAATTGCCCGCTATATGTGCTGAAGTCTGTAAAATAAGGATATGAAATAATAGAATTAAGACTTCTTTACTGACACATTTAAATTGCTGGAGGCATAAAGCATATTTCAGCCTCTGAATTAACCTGCAACAAATCCTGCAGAGATGGAAATTGAACCACGTGTTCCAACAACTGTTTTGGGGAAAAATAAGAACCTGATGTAACAGACACTTTTGGTTTGGAACAGGATTTAGCTCTTAAAATACCCAGCATTTTACTCATAAGGAATTCATGTCTGTAGACTGGGCTAAGTAGAGGTGGAAGAAATCAGGAGAGGAAGTGGTCTCTAGAGAGACACAACCTATAAATAGCTGTGCTGAAACTACGACAAAGGCTGCTATTGTTCCATGACCAACAAAGAACAAAAGGAGCAGTTTGTTACTCTTGGTAACAGTACTTAATTGATAAGCAAAATGGGAGATTTCTCTGTAGAGGGAGTGAAGGGAAGCTACCAAGTTCCTCTTAATTGAAAAGGGCTCATGGCAATCAGTTGCTTGTGGAAGTGTTTGTAAACTTTGGGTTTGGGTCACAAGTTAACTGGCTTATTTCAGTGACTGTTGCTGAGTTTGTGCTTGTAGGTGAGGGAACAACACAGTACGTTGTTGGTTGCAGGAGCTGGGGAACAGAATCCCTCCCAGTGTGTTACTGGAACCTTAGAAACAGCCCTGTTGCTCACACAGCTGATGTCTCCATGATTTATATAGAGCCATAGTGACTGGAATGTGAGTGCTTGTTTGGTTGGGTAGTGGAGGAGAGAGGAAAGCCTCAGACTCCCCTGAATGTACACTATGAGGGGAGTGCGGTAACAATTATATTTGAAATTTCTGCTATATAAGAGCAGTAATTTGTGCAGCTTGTGAAGCCAAGGCCTAGAAATATGAAAACTCACAAATGAAGACTTTAGACAATGCTGTTTCAATGAAGATGACAAGCTAAGCCAGCCATAAGCCACTCTTCAGTTACTTTTTGGAAGAGTAAAGGTAGATGATCTGACTGATGCTGTGTTTAAATTTCTTCGTAGGCAGAAGTGGCTAACAAAGCTTTCAGGGAAGAGTATTGAAGTTACAAAGATGCTAGAGTTTGGTGAAGGCAGAGAAGAAGCTTCATTAGTACCAGAATAAAAAAAGACATCAAATTCCATGTCTTTCTCAGTTTCGAGACCTGTATCTTCCCCATGAAATGACTGTGGGACTTGTGAATATTTTCCCATTGCTTTGTGCTTGGGGAAGGGG